ACGAATCTGTTCTAACGTCGAGTCTGGATTGACGTCTGTCGTATTCAGCTAACAGAACTCTCTTTATTTCCGCCGACGTAAATCTGTCGTCCGGCAAACTCGCTAGAGCCATATTTAAGTTTTCATAATCGTCTGGAAGTCCAGTTAGTATCGCATATGCAAGGTCTTCATCTTTTACTTCAGCGTCTGCGTCTCTGAGGTTGGTGGCGGCAACCTTCGCTCTGGCAATATACGCAGACATGTGCTCATCGCCTTTCATTTGTAGATGATAGAATGCCTTTTTCAATTGCATAATCCTTACTCTTGATTTGGGCTCGTGAATTTGTTCGAGCGTTTGCCATGCTTCGTGTGCACTTTTGCAATCCTCTACGTGTATCTGTTGATCTATTTCTAAACTCAAGCCTATAGTCGCTAATGCCTTGTCGTCGTTTGTTTGGTGCAATTTTCTGTCGGCTGTAGTAGCTGTATCGCTTAGTATGATATCACCGAGTGCATAACCTAGTAGTTCCCTTACCTTTTAGGAGCCATTTTATCTCGGTTTTCTATGTCCGGTAATTTCTGTCGGACAGCTTCTCGACTACATTATCACTTCTATTGTCCGTATGACTCATCTTTTAATACTGCTTCTAAAGTCTCTTCTTACGTCCTTTTCTTTTATATTTTTGAACGTCTCTTCTTACGTCCTTTTCTTTTATATTTTTGAACGTCCTGGGCCCATAACCATTTGTTGGGAATGAGTGAATTCCAATAAATGATTGAAAGATGGTTTATTTAGTCAAAAACAGACTTGACGATACATCGTATACAAAAACGGTTAGAGAGAAGAAAAACTGCCGGTAGGGCATGAATACAAAAAACGCGCCTAGCGGCAAACAGAATATTAAACATAAAGATGTCGATAACTAATCGGCTGTGACTCGTATGTCGGTAATTGGCCGGGCGCCATAATTGATTGGACAAGCAACTATCCAGCAAAAATTATTGAAAAAACTCTTTGAATGAATTGTGATATAATAATTTCATTTAAAAGGAATTTAAACCATTCGAATTGGAATAGGAAGATCCTTCAATAAGATATACGTATACTTAAGTTTTATTGTATAAAAATTAAAGATGGTACTATTTGTATTAAGTAAATAATAAAGATAGTATCACTTGGGTTTTACTTTTTATTTTGATAGAATTTAATTTGACGCCACAATTGTTAATATCAAATCTTTTATACAAATGATACATATCATTAGATTAATATTCATTATATATATAATTTGGCATAGTATAAAGAAATGGAATTTAACTTGGCGCCAGTTTTTGATATCAAATCTTTTATAGGAATGATACATATCATTAAAGTTAATATTATTTATTTAATTTGGCATTCAAATTACATAGAATTTAACTTGGCGCCAATTGTTGATATGAAATCTTTTTTTACGATCGAAACATAAAATTTTGAAGAATTTAACTTGGTGCCAATTTTATTGATATCAAATCTTTTATATGAACATATACGATACATATCATTAGAGTTAAGTAAATAACAAGAGACAGTACCAATTATGTTTTACTTTCTAATTTGATAGAATTTAACTGGATTAGTTAAAATTGTAGCATCTGAGTTTTAATTTTTCATTTGATACATTAATTTTTTTTGAAGAGTAATAATTTTTAACAAAGAAGTAAAGTTGCCATAGTTACTTGGGTTGGAATAAGAATATCTTCAATAAGAATATTCTTGAAGAAAAATTAAAACTACTATTAATTGGGTTGGATACTTAGGTTTTATTTGAGAAAGAAGTATGCTTAGCGCCTTTTTTTACCTTTTTTAAAAAAGTAAGTTTGTACTGATAGAATTTAACTTGATTAAAATTGTAGCATCTGGGTTTTAATTTTTTATTTGATACATTAATTTTTTTTTGAAGTAATAATTTTTGACAGAGAATTAAAGTTGTTATTACTTAGGTTGGAATAAGAAGACTTTTAATAAGAATATCCTTGGAAAAAAATTAAACCTACTATTAATTGGATTAGATACTTAGGTTTTATTCGAGAAACAAGTATGCTTAGCGCCTTTTTTTACTTTTTTAAAAAAGATAAGTTTATATTAATAGAATTTAACTTGATTAGTTAAAATTGTAGCATCTGGGTTTTATTTTTTTATTTGATACATTAATTTTTTTTGAAGAGTAATTGCGACAGAGAATTAAAGTTGCCATTACTTAGGTTGGAATTTAATGAACGTTAAATAAACGTTTAAAAAATATTTTTTCAAACCATTATTTCAAATAAAAAATAAATTCAAAATAAATATTAAATAAACGTGTAAACAATGTTTTTTTAATCATTTATTTCATATGAAAAATTATAATGTAAAATAATGTTTAATAAACGTTAAATTAATGAATTTTGAAAACGAATCGTGGAAAATGTAAATTAATGAAAAATAAATGTTTAAAAAACATTTAAAAAACATTGTCTGCTGATTGGTTTAAATTCTATTCGAAAAGCATTCTTAGCGCCTTTTTTTACCTTTTTCTAAAAAGGTATTATAAGTTTGTACTGATACCACGCATTTTGTATTAACAAATACTAGCATGCAATTTCGTTTGCATTCGATCTCCTTTAGTTAACAAATATCATGATGATGGTCGTCTGTATTCAATGAAAATATTTTTAAAGAAAAGTTAAAGTTATTAGTAATAAATTAACCTTGCATTAACAGAATTTAACTTGGCGCCAGTTGTTGAAAAATCTTTTATACAAATCTTTTATACAAATGATAAGGTCGCGGCACTTTTGTATAACGTATAACGCATAGTTCAAAAACGAATCAATTAATCCGAATTTTTTCTTTCTTCTCATTCCATGGAAAAGAAGAATTTGAATTGGTTGATCTTTTATGCACTATGCATTATGTGTTATGCAAGAGTCTTGTGCTGCGGGCAATATAAGTACTTATTACGTCGATGGTCATCTTTATTCAATGAAATTAAAATTACTAGATATTACTTTTTTTTAGGAGGGTGACATAAGAAGGCACTATTTAACTTGGCGTCTGTTGTTGATATCAAATCTTTTATACATATGATACATATCACTAGAATTAAGTAATTTTGTGATATAAATATCACGACAATGGTCATCTGTATTTCAATGAAAATATTTTTAAAGAAAAATTAAAATTACTAGATATTAAATTTTTTTAGGAGGCTGGAATAAGAAGGCAGTAGAATTTAATTTAGCATTAGTCATTGATATCAAATCTTTTATACAAATGATACATGTCATTATTACATAAATTTGGTGACAATAATTTTTACGTAATACTTTTTAAAAAATTGATAACGTATCGCAATTGATTTCAGAAATGCTAGCCAAAATGGCGGAAGTACACATAGGCACATAGTACACGATTTCAAGCATGGTGATTTATCTTTGCAACTGTACTTACATATCCCTTTGTGCACTTTTATGCATTAAACTTCTACAACAAATAAATCCGTATTAAACTAAGGAACACATAATCCGATATATTTGAATACGTTGTTTCTAAAAACTTGAAATCATAATTCCTTATTCCTTGTATTACGAGCGCAGCTCGTAAAGGGCTGCACACAATAGCACACAATAGCATAAGAATAACGAATAATGATTTTAACCTATCCGAAACTGTGTATTCCGATGTATCCGATTTCTGATAGATTAAAATTGTTATTCTTTATTCCTAATTCCTTATTTCTTTTATTGTGCGCATTATCTTACATATAGGTTGCGTTCAGCAGACTCAACAGTTGAGTGAGCACTCGCTGTCATTGTATTTTTTTAAATCATCCAATCAGATTTCAGATGTAGAAGAATACATTAATAGTAGCCCTCCTTTAACTGGTAAATCTACCTAGAGAATTTTTTGTGCTTACTATATTTTTTATGCTTACTGCACACTGGGCGCGATGAGCGGTGAACAATGAACGATATCTAATGAAAGCTCTGCTTTTTCTCATGTGACGATGCAAAGTAGACTTCTCATTGGATATTGTTCATCACTCATCGTGTCCAATGTGCAGTAGGCATTAGCGCAACCGCAGACAAAATTGCGTAACTATAATGACCATAGCTAAGACTTTTCTATAATGCGCAGTATAAAGTGAATTAGAGAATCAACTAATAAAAATTTCTTTTCCGTAACATGGGAAGAAAGCAAGGATTTTGCTTGGTTGATTCGCTCATGTACTATGCGTTTTGCTTTATGCAATAGCCTGTGCTGCTGCCTAATGGCCATTCTACAATAAGCCATTAGTCATAAATCAGAAGTTAGAAGTTGGAAATTGACGACTGATTGGTCAATTTCCAGCTTCTAATTTCTGATTTATGACTAATGGCTTATTGTAGAATGCGTGTAAAGCGGGGAGCTCAAACTCTTACATAACGCATAACACATAAGACATAAGAAATCCAATCACTTAGAGTTGTTTATTTCATGGAAAGAAAGGAAACGAAGGATTGGTACATTTTCTTATGCATTATGTGTTATGCGTTATGTAAGAGTCTATGCTCCCCGTCTAAGACAGGGCATTTGTAAGTATCATTTGTAAGTATCATTTGTCTTTGTTTAATATTCGATAAATAACAAGGATGAACTGATTTTTATAGCATGTGAAAATGGAAGATTCTTTTGAAACGTAAATTGGGTTCATTTCTATAAAACTATAAAAAACGGAAACTATTTTAAAATTATTACTATTTTAAAAAATGTAATAAATTACTGACAATTCACCACTATTGTGAATATTGTCAGTGTAATTTATTACTTTTTTAAAATAATAGTAATAATTTTAAAATAGTTTCCATTTTTGTAATTTTAGGAAATGATATTATGAAAATACAATTAATTATCAGATTAACTATCTGTTAATACAATTTATAAAAATAGTTTAATCTATATATTTGTTTTAATCTATATATTTAAATTATCCAAAATTAATATGTTTGACATTTTATAGACGACAAAAACGCGATGAAGCACAATATGACTTCACTCGTATGAAAGGAGCAACCTTATTATCTGAAGGTGTGGATGAAATGGTTGGTATTGTATATCGTCCAAAAACACAAGAAACACGTCAAACTTACGAAGTATTACTCAGTTTCATACAAGAAGCTTTGGGTGACCAACCACGTGATATTCTTTGCGGTGCAGCTGACGAAGTACTAGCTGTATTAAAAAATGATCGACTTAAAGAGAAAGAAAAGAAAAAAGAAACTGAACTTTTACTTGGTTTATTAGCAGAAGAAAGATTTGCACTGCTTGTAAATCTTGGTAAGAAGATCACGGATTTTGGTAGCGATGAAAAAAGTACAACAAACGATGAAAATATTGACGAAACATATGGGATTAATGTACAGTTTGAAGAGAGTAGCGAGGAAGATGATGAAGATGTATATGGAGAAGTACGAGAAAATGAAGACGAAGGTGATGAAGGTGAAGAAGCTAATGATGACAGAGCTATTCATGCAGAAAACGTAAGGTTTTGCTCAATTAGTCTTATTAAATTATAGATTTTCAAAACAAGTTACATATCGTATTCCTTCAATTATGATCTTCATTGAGATAAATTTCTTACATTATATATAGTTATATGACTAACAAAGGTACACAACCAACTGACTTTCAATTTTAATAAGCTTTGGATATATCATTCATTTTCAATAAAACAACTCGAAATAATGATATAACTCAAACAACTCAGAAATTGTCATTTTTTTTAGTTGTTTACAACGGGTGCATTCCATTTCACACATAATGCGCATGATCCTTGTCGTTCACTAAATGATAAATGATTCATTATGCACATCATGTGTGAAACGGAATGCACCCAAAAATAGAATGACCCTTTAATGTTCTTAATTCTGGTAAATTAACATAACTGAGTTGCTAAAACTTATCACAAGAGAGCAGTTATGTCAAAATTGCATTTTGTCGCATTTTGTCAATTGTTTTGATTCAACAGTGTTTCATCCACAACTTTTATAACTAGATTGCTGACTCAATGTGATTGAAAAAGATGAGTCTGATTCGGAGCTATCCTTGTTTTAATTCACATATGTATACGTATATGTCCTGTCTGTATCGCGTGAATGGAATGTGAAAATACTATGTTAGTCAGAATAGAAATTATCATAAATGTCAAATGTCACTTCATGGTAACTTTTTAATTGTATTCTGAAAAACAATAATGTAAAATGGTTGTTTGCGGTGTAATAAACTGCTGAAGTCGATATAAAGTAAGAAGTAATGTTCTTTTTCTTTCATATTACATTATTATAAATACAATAGGTACTAAAAATATTTCCCAATACTTGAGCAGTGATTATCTGTGTGATTTATACATGTGAAAATGAGTCAATACAAATATGACGCTGCTCAGGCTCCAGCGCTCTCTTCAAACATAGATGCAAAGTCGGTAGTCTACTTATAGAAGTCTGTGGTTTTATGTCAGTTGTTTCTGAGCAGTTGTAGTGGAAGGACTCATTTAGTTTTCACGGAGAACGTCATGTCTCCTATTAGTACGACATTGCGATAAAGTAAGAAAAAAACATTGTGTTATTTTTTTATTGAATTTTTATATTGTTTCAACTTGTAACTTTCTTGATAAAACAATATGATAATTATACAATATAAGGGAGGTCGCTCTAATCGCCTTGACCTTGACATATGTTGTCAATGTCATGACCCTCAAAAGTGACCTTCAAAAGCCGGCGCTCATTATTCGTTGAAAAGTTATTAACAAAATAATTTAAAAAATATACGCAACCACATTTCTGCTATACACATTCAACATTAAGTAATATCCTACACTTCCCCTGCTTGGGACGTACAATTTTCCACATGTTATTTTTTGAACTTTTTTTATTAATAATTTTTTAATGAATATAACGAGCGCCAGCCAAAATCTTCTGAAGATTACTCAGGATCATTGACAATATATGTCAAGGTCAAGGCGATCCAGACGGCCCTATTCTACGTAATTATCCTTTCACATACTACAATTTGCGACTCATTTCCTTATTTTATTTGAAGTAAGAATTTAACATATCAAAACGTTGCATCATAATAGGGCAGAAAAAAATAAAGACACTTTTATTACATATTTTGGGTGGAAGCTACCGATTGAAGGTATTTACTTAGAACTTGATCGATTCAGTCCTTATTGAGATTCCATAATCGTGGTCTAGAAAATTTCGCGTAAAGATACACGATCAGTCTCGCGTTAACATGTAGTTGCGCATGTCTTAGCGCGAGATACTACTGTGTTTTGTGATGTTTTATAATTTTTTTATTATTCGAGCTATTTTATAAAAATTTTTCAATTTTTATATTTTAGTATAAACTACTTTTATGTACTTTTATTGTTTACTAACAAAGTGCAATTTAAAATAAATGAATTAATGCCTTTTTGAGTTGAACACAAAAAGGTTGGTGTGGAAAATAATTTATTCATTTACTTTTGGCCATACATTTCGATCCAAGCTTCGGAGCATTTCTAGTGTTAATACAATAATGGTGTTGAATGTATCGTAAATTTCCAATAAAATCATTACACTTCTCGATATACTATACAATAACAATTAATTAAAAAAAAAAGATAAATAAATACACAATTAAATCTTAAAACATATATGATCTTTATTAAAGCATACAAATATGAGATGCTAACTACACGAATGTTATGAGTTTAAACAAAATGACCGTCGCAAAATGATCATCGTCAAACTAATGTGTGGAAAACAAACATAGATAGAAAAAAACATTGAAAAAAGAGAACGTTACTTGTTAATAAATAAATTGTCATAGGTCTCATGCGATAGATTTAAACTGTTTGTTTCCGATAAAAATTATTTCTGAGATGAGTTTTTTGTTTAAAATTTTGTCTTCATCTAAAATTTTAATGTTATTCCAATCAACATCATGCGAATATTTCAACCAATGTTCAATAATTACTAAGCGTTGTGCTGTTTTCCAATTAATGCGGGTTTTGTGTTGATTCTCGCTTCCAAAGTTCTGCTCGTCTGATCCACGTATGTTGCATCACATTCTTTACATTTTATTTTATACATCACATTGATGTGTAATATCAGTGGGAGCCTATCTTTGCGAATCTTGATGAAACTGCTCAATTTATTGTCACTTTTGTATGCTAATTATCCTGTTATTCTTTAAAAAATTTTTGATTTTTTCTGGAGTACCAGAAACGTATGGTATTGTAAAGAATATTTTTTTATTTCTCATTTTAAGATTGTTTTTATTATTGAAAGCACAATTGTTTTATAAGCTACATTTTTTATACAATTTTTTTCTGATGCAAAAAATCAATTACAATGGATATCAATTATTTAATAATATTTGAATTATTTCAAAATTTTTAGTATAGAAGGAGGGATGCGACAAAAGAAGTACTTTATTGATTAAGCCCACAATACTCCAATTTTCTAACACAACGGGTGCTGTGAGAAATAATTTAAATAACATTCTGTGAAGACGTGGACTTTTAGTATCAGTCATATATGATACAGTTATTTTACAATGTCACATCTAAAAAATTCATTTTGTCACCACCCTGCTCCACTGTCCTGCTCCAAACTTTAGCCGTGGATAATAATTGTTAAATACATATCAGAGATTACTGATGTGTGC